AGTAGCAGTGGCAGTAGTAGTTGTAGTAGTAGAAGAAGTAGTAGTAGTAGTAGTAGTGGCAGTGGCAGTGGCAGTAGCAGTAGCAGTAGTAGTAGTAGTAGTAGTAGAAGAAATAGTAGTAACAGTAGTAGTAATAATATCAATAGTACTCGTAATAGCAACAGTAACAGTAGTACTCTTTGTAATAGCAACAGTGTAGTAACAGTGATACTAGCCTGGTAGTACTAGTATTAGTAAAAGTGTTAGTATCAGTATTAGTATTAGGATTAGGATTCGGATTATTATTATTACTAGTAGTAGAAGTTGTAGTAAGAGTAAGAGTAATAGTAAGAGTAATTGTAATGGTAGTGGCAACGGTAATAACAGTAGCAATGGCAATAGCAATAGCAATCGCAATAGTAATAGGAAAAGTAGTAGTAAAAGTAGAAGTCATAGTAACCGCCAAAGTAACAGTAGCAATGATAGATGGTGATGGTGATAGTGACGGTAAGAGTACTTGTAATAGTTATAGTAACGGTAATAGTACTAGTAGCAGAGATAGTGATGGTGATGGTGAAGGTGATAGTAGTAATAGTAGTAGTAGTCGTCGTAGTAGTCATGGTCGACGTGATCGTCTTCGTCGTCGTAATCGTAATCGTAATGTAATCGTAATCGTATCGTAATCGTATCGTAATCGTAATCGTATTGGTAAGCTTAATCGTAATCGTGATCGTAATCGTATTGGTAATAGTAGTAGTAATAGTCATAGTCATAGTAAGAGTAATAGTAATATTATTAATAGTAATGGATCAAAAACAGTATCAAGCCGCCGAATTGGAAGACGAAGTGTCAGGTTCTTTCTTTGTTTTCCGTTCTACATCGAGAAGGACTTCTTCTAACGTGGCTTCTGGTCATCGCATTTTCCAAGCACTCAAGGAGCTCGGCTTGTGGGTGAATGTCGTGGAAAACACCCTTCTTGCTGTAGCTCTCTTGGGCCGGAAGCTTTGTGGGCGCACAAGTGGAACATTCTCGTGTCCACGGGCGCTGTGAATGCTCAAGGTTTGGATTGCATTGCGACAGAGCTGGCCGAAATCTTACCAAGTTCGACAGAAGAGTGTGACGGATCCGCAACGTCAAGCAGGATTTCCAGCAAAGCTTCTGCTGAGGAGAATCCCTTTGGTGATGATGCAAACGACGTTATCTTAGTAAGACTAAAGGTCTTCTTGTCTTGAGCTTCGTGGCAGGGCTCACTGTTTGAATACCAAGGATCTAAATATGTATGATCGGGTCGCGACTCTTGAACAGGAGGTGCGCACCTTGGGACAGGCTTCTTGACATTGCCAATGGGTATCGGAGGAGGCAAAGAGGACGTGAGCAAGACTTTGGGGCGTGAATGGGCTCAACATGAAACCATAGACAAAGCAGTAACTTTGTGAGGCATAATCTTGCATATCTCGCGATGCCTCGCACGGTCTATGAAGAGCAGCAGCACCGTCACCATCACCATCCCCATCCACAACACGATCACCATCGGCACCATCATCATCGCCATCATCATCGCCATCATCATCTCTCTCTTTCTTTCTTTCTTTCTTTCTTTGATTCTTTCTTTCTCTCTCTCTCTCCCTCCCCGCCGCGGCCGTGAGGACGTGTTGCGTGTGCGAGTCCAGAAACCAGAACCCGACACCTTCGGTGAAGGAATGCCGACCCGTGGGTCCAGCGCATTTCTCGGGATACCGGTCACCGCCGATTCGTTAGCAAGAAAAGCGATGGACATGCAACTTGCAGAGAAGCTATCAAAGCTACCGAAGCTACACTACTAGCTGTCACAACAGCCTCACTTCGACAAGATCGGCACGGGCCGAAGAACTCATACGTCTGTGGCACTGGCCTAGGCCAACGTTGTGGGGGTCAGCGGTGGAGCGGTCTTGTGCGTAACCGGTGTCACCATTATCACCATAATCACCATAATCACCATAATCACCATAATCACCATAATCATCATCATCCTCATCATCATCATCATCACCATCAGCACCATCATCATCGTCATCTTCTTCATCATGATCACCGTCATCACCATCATCACCATCATCACCGTCATCATCGTCATCACCTTCATCATCGTCACCATCATCATGATCATCATCCATGCAAGAGGCTGAGCATCCCGTTGTTCGAGGGGTCGTGGATGAGGTGGTTGGCTTGAACGTTGGCACCGGTTCACTCGCGCTAAGATAGTACGTTCTAGAGTTTGTCTCGTTGGATCATGGCCATACCGGTTCTGCAACTTGTGATGCAGCGGGGATAAGCACTCAGTCTGACTGGTGGTCCAACGTCAAGGGCGATCTGTACGTGCACGTGCAAAGAATAATGCATGTTTATATGCATGTGGGTGTAATATATATATATATATGCATGACAGCATTGGCTTCGTCGGATGGACACACCGTCGGTATCGTATGCTTTGTCCCGAGCCAGTTTAGAGGCTTGATGGTACCTTCGTGGTTTTGCCCTGTCTCCTGAAGTTCGTTCAAGAAGCCCGCGCTACAAATTGGTTTTTTTCTCCCCCCTCACCATTGCAGCAGCACGGATGACTTTATCCCCGACTCCCTTGTCGGCCTATGTTGCAGCCGTCGCCTGGCACCATCCTCTGCGCGGCCGCCATCGGCCTCGGTTGCCAAGACCTCGCTCTCCCGACAGTAACCTTCCCCTCGCCATGCCGTGGTTAGCTGCGGTTAGCTGGTTGCCCACAGTATGGTCGTGAGCTCTATGATGCTGGCCGCCTTTGTGGGGTCCGAGACGATCTGTGCAATTGCCCGCCAAGAACCTGTCCTTCGACATAAGCACCTCCCAATGCCCTCAACCTATGCATAGGCATGTTCCGGACTTGTCCGACCCTACCAGGTCCTGTCCGACCCTGCTGGTCTCCAGCCTACAACCCATCGACAGGGTTTGTCCAACCCACTACATCCCTGTCTTCTAGCCCCGTTCGACCCCGCCACATGCAATTGCTTGCGGCATGGTGCACACCTTCTTGGCATTGCTACCGCAGCTCAAGTTCAGGGTTTTGGGTTTTGGGTCTGGGCTGGGGTGTTTTGGTTTCGGGTTTGGGTTTGGGCATCAGGGCTTTAAGGTCTTAGGATTTTAGGGTTTATACGGTTGAGGGTTCAGGCCTCAGGGTTTTAGGGTTTGGGGTTTTAGGGTTCAGGGTTTAGGGTTTTAGGATTAAGCTTCAGGGTACATTCGGACTTGTGTGGTCGGTCGGTCCATGGGCAACGAGGCTAGCGATGCGGGCATTCTATGCCTTTTGTACAATATCAGTCCGAGACAACACCTCAACGAAGTTCAGCACCCAATTCACGAGCCGACATCAAAGAAACGAATTACTCAAAACGAATTAACAATGAATTAATGCTTCACAAGTAAGGTCGGAATGGCAAGTTTGGGCTCTTTAGCTTTCGGGTTTTGGCGTTCGGGTTTCGGCTTTAGGGTTCCGGCGTCTGGGTTTCGAGTTTTGGCTTTAACTGATTAAGGTTTTGGGTTGCGGCTTTACGGTTTAGAGCTTTGAAATTTGGTTTTTGGCTTCAGGCCTCCACGGCTTAGGGCGTTAGGGTTTAGGGACATTTAGGGTTTATGGTGTCGGCACTGGTCTGCTAGACGCCTTAAGTGCGCAGACATGTCCACCTTGAGGCCACCCAAATACAACTCATAACGGATCAAAACAGGGCTAGCAGCTAGCCAAGCCGAAGCCAGCTTGTGGAGCCGGCGAGCTTTGTTGGGAACTTTTTGTTCTTTTTTCTTATTCGCTTCGAGTTTTGGGGAAAGCTGCCAGTTGTAAAGTGGGCGATCAAACAAGAATCCGCGGGAACAGATTGCGTGGCAGTGGCCTTAAATGTAGGCTTTTCTTGCAAAATTCAGGTTTTGCGTTGGGGGACGTCTTCGGCCGAAGGGCCGAAGGGCCTTCTCAATGTTTTAGTTTCGCTCCGGTCTGCAAAAGGCTCCTCTCGGAAAAGCAGAGCCGGCGCCCCGCCACAGCACCGCCCCAGCACCTGACAGCTTGCCGGTGCGGGGCACTGTCGAGACGCTGAGCTCGCTTCGTGCTGCTAAGTCGGAACTTGCCCGCGTTCCGCCAGAGCCGCAGCCCCATCAAAAAGCAGCACCACCCAAGCACTTGGCGGCTGGCCGTTGGGGCGGGGCGCTGTGTCGCGGACCCTGTGCCAGAGCTGCGCTAGTGCCCTGCCAAGGTCTCGCTGGCGCTCGACATCGCCCACCTACCCACACAGAAGGAGAGGTGTGGTGGGCGGGTTTTGGGGTTTTAGGGTTTTACACTTTAACGTTTCAGGGCTTGGAACTCTATAGGGATCAAGCTTCAGGCGGCCATGTGGCCCCCAGGTCACGTCCATCGACGGCCGGGTGACCACCTGGAGAAAGGGGTCGTCCCCACCTGACCTGACGGTGACTTCCATCACCGCCACCGGCGACGTGCAGACGCGATTGCCGCAGAGCAGCGGCCAACCTGCAGATCTTCGGACGAGGGCGGGAGCGCACTGGCATCCTTCGCCGACGCTGAGATCAGCTACTATCCTCGCGGACACCACCCTGGAGCCCTAGACCGGCCCAGGCCCATTCCCGCTACCACCAGTTCACACCCCGGCGCCTCCGCATCCTCGTGCGCCCCTGACCTGCACGCCCATCCTCGGCAACGGCTCTGGCGGTGGACAGGTTCATTGCGAAGTACCGGGCGTCCCCCTGGGCCTGGGTCAGGAAGCCCGCGCCGGAGATCTTGGCGTCCACCTGCGCTTGGAATTTGGCTTTCAGCTCGCTCGTGAGCTTCCACCACCATCGCTATGCCATCGCCATCCTGCTGGCCATGTTACCAACTTGCATGTTATGGGAATTCAGGAAAGAGGCATCCGCGATGACACTTGACAGCCAAGTTTGAGCCAGCCGATATGGTTTTCGTGGTTACCACAACCTTCGGCCAGTTGCACAAGGCGCACAAGGCGCCATGATATGATCCTCGGATTGCTGAAACAGCCTGTTCAGGAAACAGTTTTTGGCCAAAGCCCAAGCCTTTGTGGTACCTTGGTGCAGGTTCAGCAGTGGGACAGGTAGGTCTGCCGAATTTATCCTGGTACTTTCCTTTCGCAATAGGCGGCTGCAGCAGCGGCCAAAGGTTGGTCCTCGGTCGGATGGGCTGATGGCGGGGTGGTTTATCGCAGGGGACATGCCTTTAAGATGGCTTGTGCATGCCAGTTGTAGCTGTTCCTAACCAACAGAAAAAGTCCACGGCGATGGACAGAAGGCGAGCCAGTGTCTGAAAATAGATGTGAGAATTCGCCGGTATCCTCCTTTTGAGCTTCTTTCCTCCCTGCTGCCGCCTTGTATGTTTTTGCTCTCCCACGTTCGAACCTCTTATTCATTCAGGAACGTCACAACAAGCTCATGGCGTTTCGTTGTCGTGGCCTTCAAATAACCTGAGTTGCCAGACAACATCATGGCTGTCGAAGGAAGAATCCGACACCAGACGACGTCTCAAGGTTTGTTGACACAAGTTCGACACACCTTAGTTGTATCGGGAAAAAGCCCACCTCAAAGCACAAATCATGGAATGACCTTTTGTGACAGCCGTTCCGTAAAACATTTGAGGTCGGCCACTGCCAACACCAACGTCCCGTGAATTGTGGCATAATAGGCGAACAGACATGGTTGCGTACACGGTTGGAAGTGGCTGGGACATGCCAGGTCATGGTGTTCGTGAAACTTTGCGGGGACGATGCCTGCTCGCAGAACTTCACTTGGCAGGAAGCCACATATGACCAGCAAAGGGCTGCCGCGTGGAATTTGGCCCCCAAGCCGTTGCTTAAATGTTTTCCAGGCCTTCCCCACTGAGATTCATGAAGGGATGCTCGGTGCTCACAACAACCTGCACGATCCCATAGAAAACACATTTGTTGCCGTCAGACAAGGCCACCGGTGACAAAGTTCTTAGCACTGCGATCACAGGTGGGCCGAGAGTTGATTCGTTGGCTGACAGTGACGGACAGAGACCCTGTAAGGTGGAGAGCAGGGGAAAGAACTCCGACGTCGTCTGGGGTGGCGCCTGCTCCAGGCGCTTGTAGCCTTGTAGCCTTTTCGGATCGGCACATGGAAAAGCTTCTCCGACCCACAGGGCACACATTTACGAGGGAATGCGCGACCTGGCCGAGGAGGATGAGGCAAAGCATGCTCACCGTACAATCGCTGCTCACAGTATCCAGGCACAGTTGTTGCGATATTGCTGTCAGGAAGTCGATGCCAACTTTTCGGATGACTCCTAGAGTGCCGAGCTGAAGCTTCATCTACGGTCGGGTGCGAATCTCGGACAGTGTTGCTCTTGGATGTTCAGTCGAGAGTGTCGTGCTGCCCTACAACTTGAGCTTGAGGCTGGACATGGCTGGATCACATGCGAAGCAGAGCCGACGTCGTGGAGTTCTCGAGCATATCGCTGCCCGGTCTTCGGTGCGAAAGTTCGTGCGCGGCCACGCGCAAGAGCATCCCCTAACCTGGTACCGAAGTTGCTGCAGTTCGCTGCCAGCTGACAACACTTCTGGACGTGACCCTCCTACTTTTCATGATGGCGACCTTCGTGGAGTTGATCTGTTTCTCGTACCCAAAATTGGCGAGACGGAATTGCAGTTGTGCTGCTCCACGCACTTTCAGAGTGGAAGATACAGCACGAAAGGACGAAAGCAAGTCCGAAGTCTTCACGCAGATGGAGTCGTTCCTTAAACACAGTTTGCTTAGTCTGCGTAGTCGCACACATGTTGGCCTGTGGGCATAAAAACATATTTTATCGCAGCATATGGGTGAGCGGGGGAGGGTGCAGCACGCAAAAACAAAGCAGGATGCTCAGGATCTTCGGAGTTGTGACTACTCGAACTCAGACTCGAATTCAGATGGAGAACGCTCCTGACTCCAGATCGCAAGATCGGCAGTGGCGACGGTTCTGGTTGCACTGGTACATCGTCTTGCTGTCTCTACGGTGTTATTTCGCTAGCTGCCAGAGGTTTCACCTGTGCTACAAGTAGGATGTTCAAGTGGGGCCATATGCCCAAGCACGAGGCGAAGTAGTTTGAACCTGGCTTTAGACAAGTGCCGAATCTTGAAGAAGATGCACTGCAGATCCGACAGAACCAAGTCCTGAACAGACAAACATGTGCTCAGGAGTGCTGCATTGTGTTTGATCCGTTCGGCCTTTCGGCCCAATCGGATGCGAAGTTTCTTTGTCGTTTGCAATACGGTAAGCCATGGCCTGACAGGCTCGCTGCTCGCATCTTCCAGCAACTCCTGGCTCTTTCTACTTGTGCCAGATCGTGCCAGGCCGTCCATGAAAGCTCGCCGCTGCCGGCAGGGCCGGGGCTCAACAGGCAGGGCTCTCAGGTTTGGGGCTTCGCTTACGGACTCGGGCTGCCTTTATGTCCTGTGACAGGTGCGCTCACGTTCCATGGCATAATTTTCTGCTGTACGCCGCGGCCTCATTTGTGCAGTATTTGTGGTACAAGGCTCTGCCCCATACCTGACTTTGCTGCCGAGGTGCCGATTGGCAGTTGCCATCCGGGACTCTGGGATACTCTGGGCGCATGTGGTGCACAAGGGACGAGATGCCAGGAAGACGGGTTGCGAGCGTGATCATGCGCAGGACAGACATGTCGATGTCGACGACGTCGATCTCGCCGACCCTTCGATCTTGGAGGATCCCACGGTGGATTTGGCCCAGCTGGATGATGCAACAGTCAAGCAGACTGGGTTGAAGGGACACAGCCTCCGGCGGTAGCTTTCGGTCGACGATCATGAAGTCATGAAGGACCATGATTAGGACCAGCAATGAGTTCACGAGAGCACAGTCGTTTTGAAAGTCCTCTGGCAGAGTTGGCTCAGTCGCGTAGCCTCGAAATGAAGCGCAGAGAGGTTGTGAAGGCCGTGGCCTAGGCATGTCGGATAAGCCTACCGGCGTACCGGGCTTCAGAGTTTTTCTTGGTGTCGCCTGAGGCCCGTCATGGTGACAGTAACTTCCTGGAGAAGGAGGCAGCTGGGGCCAGGGTTGTGTTCGAAGGAGTGTCGGTCGGGTCCGAACCGAGTCACCCAGGACAAGCAGGGGGAGAAGGCGCTGAAAGCCCTGCGGCCCATCGCTGTCGAGGCCGATCCCTTCTTCAGCATCCAGGCCATGGAGACGATGCTTGGGCACCAGCGTATGGAGATGCACCGGCTGATCCACGGTTACCATGAGACGGCCATGCGATTCCTACTGCGGAAAGAGGAGGACTGGCGACGTTCTGAAATGGAAGCTAAGGACTTGAAGTCTCAGAACGAGGCCTTGAAGAAAGTTGCTGGGAGTGGTGGCTTGGGCTTGGACTCGCCCGTCGGGAGCAAGGGGAGCAAGGATCTTTTCGGCAGTGGCGACAGCAAAAGTACCTTCGTTCTGAATGTTCAACTGGAGAAGACCCGCGAGCAGCTGTTGGAGTGCGAGAAGCAGCATCGCTTCGTGCAGGCGGAGAACTTCGAGCTACGAGAGCAGCTTGCGGCCATGCAGGCCGTTGGAGCCGGTTATGGTGGAATTCTCTCACAAAATGTGCAAAGTCCCATGTGGAATGACATGAGCTGGGCAGTTCCAAATGCCGATTTTGCACCCCCCATGCACGAAAAGACGGCAGATGGCCTGCCTGTGAAAGGCACCGTCACATCCTTTCTGGAGAAGCTGAGTACCACGCAGAACAACCCGCTGGACCGTCTGGAACGGGCGCAGTCGAAGCTGGATGCCTGGGCCGCTTCTCATCATCCACGTCCGGACCCGGCGTTGCAGGGCTTAGCGGCCTCCGTAGACTACAGCACCATGGAGCTGCCGGGGACCGATGATTTGCGCCCAGAGATCGAGGACAAGGCCACTACCAACGACCAGGAAGACGAGGACATAGCCATCGGATACATCCGCTCAGGCAAGAAAAAGAAGAAGAAGGACAACAAGCGCCGGAGCCTCATGATGAAAGACCGGGTCCAGGAGCTCTTCGACAAACCCATAAATGTGAAGGACAAGTACAAGACCACAGGCATCACGCAGAAAATTGTTCGCAGCCCATGGTTTGAGAACACCTGCATGGCCGTCATCTTCCTGAATGCCATTTGGATTGGCATTGAGATGAGCTTCAACCCGGCAGAGGTGTTGGCGTATGCCGAGCCTCCTTTCATTATCGTCGAAAACCTCTTCTGTGTGTTCTTCTTTGCGGAGATCGTTCTGCGACTTCATGCATTCTCCAGGATGTGCAACGCCTTCAGGGACAGGTGGTTTGTGCCTTTCGGCTGGCCTGGTAGTATTCTACCGATAACGTTTTTCCTAAATAAGCCACCGCCGGAGGTTCGACCTAACTCTGGTGATTCTGATGGCCGGGCTCCCAGTCGGTATCCTGCGCAGCTGAAACGTTCACATGACAGAGCAGGTGATTGAGACCTGGCTCATGTTCTTGATTATGACTGTGTCGACAGACACCTCTCAAACACAGGAGCAGGCTGGACCCAGAGCGTCCCTTAGCAAAGGTAAGCAGCTGCTTTGTACAGTTCGAGCAGGGAAGCCATCCGCAAGAAGACAACCACGACGATCACTTCAAGCACGACTCGTACTAGCAGTAGTCCTCGTGCTCCTATTACAACCACCACCGCCGCCGCCGCTGCAACAACAGCAACAAGAACAACAACAGCAGCAGC